CTTCATCGACTTTCAATAGCCTCCTGACCTGATCCAGGCTACTAGTAGGGGGTAGGATAAGTGGTCAACCCGATAATAGTGTGGTTGAAGATATATAAGCCTCTTACCTTCCCTTCGGCAGTGACAGGACACTTACAGTCGTTCACGGGCAAAGTAAAACACTTAACATAGGAGCAAACTATTGTCTGCCTGTGTTGAGTATCATCCATTTCCATGCTTACAACAAGGGCGACCCTACGTCATGTATGAATATGATTATGCAATAAAATTCCCAAGCTACGTATCATACATACTTGCTTTTGGATGGGGCAGATATCTATGCCCCAATTCAAGTAATGCGAGAACCGCGTAGAAGGAAAACAAACCGTACACATGCAAATTACCAGTAAGAAGTTAAAGCATCAGCCTCCGAGGCCTATGAGAGCTAAAAAACCCTACAGCCTTGAGCTGTGGGGCTTCTACTCCGTATCGGGATCCATCGCACAGCAAAGCTGACTATTGGCGACGATGTGTGCGGTACTCCATATGTAAAACCACAGATACGCTGAGAAACCTATGAATGTTGTCGGGTATGCAGAGTCTTATACCGTGCGACAACAGAAAGAAGCATAATAAACCTTAAGCTTTGACTACTTATACAGTAACGTAGCCCGTGTATCTACTCCTTACTTCCTGGAATCCGGATACGAATCATGAAAGATATATGGAGTATTGCATGTAGGCCACCTCTTTGTCTTTGCCACCCAGTCGGCGGTGTGCCCGCATGCTCGGTAAGTAGGCATTCTGCATCTGCGAAAGTGTTTTTAGTATCAGCTAAAAACCAATTCTGGTACGGGAGACTCGTATTCCAGGTCCCGTTGAATGAATGGATTGTCACATATATAATAAATAAACCCCATCATGGGCTTTACTTTGTATACCATCCATGCCATATTAGAAAGATATTGAAATGACCAACCTACGTAGACAAGAGAGCTTGGCGGCTCCGGAAGTATGTGGTTTGGGATCTTGTTTGGTGAACCGCTACTATTTAGTAATCGGCTTAGGAAAGGGGAGGATCGAGTTTTTGGTTCAGTTCCCCATGGGTCCGATGAAGTACCCAGGGGATACGCACGGTGGCCCCTTTTAAAACACATCGCGACAATTACCCCTCCCCCTTTTCCCACTCAATTATCTCGGTTTCCATGGGCAAGTTTACACCAGAGGCAAAATGTACTGTGGGATACGACTCATGAAGAACAAAGAGGGGCTCCCTCACGATCTAGGGTCTCTACCTGCCAGGTTCTTTGTCCCCAGCACATGTACATACATAACATACATAACTACGTACTACCGACATGAGTGCTGCACCTGATTTCACCTGCTGCTTACAACTTGATGTGTTGCATTTTCCAATTGTAGGAGTACATACCTATCTCTCAAGCAGATCACCACGACCATCGGGAGGGAGGGCAAAGTGATAGTATATTTATTACCTAGCGCTGAATTTATTATTAGAAACCTATGTTTAGAAGTTCCCTAGATCATATACTCCGTCTCAGCATTCGAACCAGATCCATGGCGTCAGGGAAAGAATTTGCCTAACTTGACTAATAATAGTTAAAAGTGGAGCGTTATTCTGGCCATGCAGGTGGGGGTGAGTATCGTACTTCGGTATCTACTGAGCAATTCGTACAAGCTAGTACAATAATACTCTATCGCTACCTTGGATGCGGATGGTCCTGGCCTGACTCAGGTCACGGGTGAAACATACCAGTCGATTGTGTGAGGCGCAGGGTGGGCTTATTGGCTGCTACCTCATTTGATGAATGGCTGAGAGTGCCTATAGCAGCTTCCCTGGTCTGTGTGTGCCAAGGTGGGTCGATCTCACCACATAAAACATAACAGCTCCCCCTCCTTTCTACCCTCCCAATTGTTTGTTGATCCCAGTGAACCACCTCCTCAACCTCTCCGTGTCTTTTCCTCCTGATTCCTTTTTCTCTCAACCCACCTTCATACTTACACCCCTGTTCATCACCCCTTCTCATAAGCAGTAAGTCGAATTCATTTCCGAACGCAATGTTCGTTGTTGGTGTCTTGATTAACATGGACCTCCTTAGCTGAACTTCTCGATATCTAGACATAGTGTCGTCTTCTTGGAGCGTCAAACGGCCCCATACTCTCCCTCACGTCTCCGAGTAATCACGATAAAAATAACCAAACATGTGGTATGTCTGGCTCCAGAGCTCAACCCTCGTATATTCTGATGTCTAATACAAAATCTCAAGTGGCATTTTCGGCTACATCAACTACCTTGTCGAAAGAGACCGCAGGTTCATTCTTGATACTATACTTAACGGTTGGTCCCCTCCCCGTCGTGATAGCCTCCGTCATGTCTCAAATCGCTCCCCGAACTTCTCCCAATATATCTTGTATCCTGACATTGCGTAGGTCTTTCGAGACTCGAATACCGTGGTTATGATTCAGCCGGTCTCGCAGTCGATGGCGACAAGAAGAAGGAAGTCTGTGCCTTCAAGGAAGTTGGCAAGGTCGCTAAGTTGAAGGAACTCATTGAAGAGTCCAAGCCCGATTTCACCAAGACCTTTGAGTCCCATGCCGGTATTGCTCACACACGCTGGGCCACTCATGGTACTCCGTCTCGCCGGAACTGTCACCCTCACAGGTTGGTTAACTGAAATTATGCCCGCCGATTGGCTTAGGCTAAGGAAACATGAGACTAACATATGGCCATAATCCAGATCTGACGCCAACTGGGAGTTTGCTGTTGTTCACAATGGTATCATTACCAACTACAAAGAATTGAAGGCCTTGCTGGAGAGCAAGGGATTCCGCTTCGAGACCGAAACAGACACTGAATGCATTGCCAAGCTTACGAAGTATCTTTATGATCAGCAGCCAGACATTGACTTCACGGTATTGGCCAAGGCTGTTGTCAAAGAACTCGAAGGCGCTTTCGGTCTCCTCATCAAGTCTGTGCACTACCCTCATGAAGTTATTGCGGCCCGTAAAGGTTCCCCGCTTGTTATCGGTGTGCGAACTTCGAGGAAGATGAAGGTGGACTTCGTTGATGTGGAATACTCCGAGGATGGCCCCCTTCCAGCAGAGCAGGCTTCTCAAAACGTTGCCATCAAGAAGTCTGCTACTGGACTGCTTGCACCTCCTGACAAGTCACTCCTGCACCGGTCTCAGTCCCGCGCTTTCCTTTCCGATGACGGCGTTCCTCAGCCAGCCGAATTCTTCTTGTCATCAGACCCATCGGCGATCGTTGAGCACACCAAGAAGGTCCTTTACCTTGAAGACGATGACATTGCTCATATCCATGAGGGCCAGCTGAACATCCACCGTTTGACCAAGGATGATGGCACGTCGAACGTCCGCGCCATTCAGACCATTGAACTTGAGCTACAGGAAATTATGAAGGGTAACTTTGATCACTTTATGCAGAAGGAGATCTTTGAGCAGCCCGAATCCGTGGTCAACACTATGCGTGGTCGACTGGATGTCGCAAACAAGCAAGTCACACTGGGCGGTCTCCGGCAGTATATTTCTACCATCCGTCGGTGCAGAAGAATTATCTTTGTGGCTTGTGGAACCAGCTACCACTCATGCATGGCTGTGCGTGGTGTTTTCGAGGAGCTTACTGAGATACCTATCTCGGTTGAACTTGCCTCGGACTTCCTGGACAGACAGGCACCTGTCTTCCGTGACGACACATGTGTTTTCGTTTCCCAGTCGGGAGAGACAGCCGATTCCCTGATGGCCTTGCGCTATTGTCTCGAGCGTGGTGCCTTGACTGTTGGTATTGTTAACGTTGTCGGCTCCTCCATCTCCCTCCTGACTCACTGCGGTGTGCACATCAATGCTGGGCCTGAGATTGGTGTCGCTTCCACGAAGGCATACACGTCGCAGTTCGTGGCCATGGTTATGTTTGCGCTCTCGCTTAGCGAGGATCGGGCTTCCAAACAGAAGAGACGCGAGGAGATCATGGAGGGTTTGGCCAAGGTATCAGAGCAATTCAGAGAGATCCTGAAGCTCAATGAGCCCATCAAGCAAATGTGCGCAAAGTTCTTCAAGGATCAGAAGAGCTTGCTGCTGCTGGGCAGAGGTGGCCAGTTCCCCACGGCCCTCGAAGGTTAGCAGGTCGATCTTTCTTGTCATCACTCCTCATTAACATGATTTAATAGGTGCGCTTAAGATCAAGGAGATCTCCTACCTCCACTGTGAGGCTGTTATGTCAGGCGAACTGAAACACGGCGTTCTTGCCCTTGTGGATGAGAACCTGCCCATCATCATGATCCTTACGAGGGATAATATTTTCTCGAAGTCACTGAATGCTTATCAGCAAGGTTAGTCAATCCTCCGCTCACATTCGCAAAGCTTTATTCTCTAACCATCCAACAGTCATTGCACGAGGAGGCCGTCCTATCGTGATCTGCAACTATGATGACCCAGAGTTCTCTGCCGCTCAAACAGAAAAGATTGAGGTCCCGAAGACGGTCGATTGCCTTCAAGGACTTTTGAACGTTATCCCATTGCAGCTTATCTCGTACTGGCTTGCAGTGGGAGAGGGTCTCAACGTCGATTTCCCCCGTAACCTCGCTAAGTCGGTTACCGTTGAATAGAGGGCGATGAAGAAAAACAATAGATTGTGGGCACGAGAGTGGGAACTTTCAATTAATGCATAGGGTTTCTAAATTAATGATGGTAACATGTAAACTTTGCAGTATTGGTAGTTTTTGCCCATATCTCTCTTAGTTGCCGTTTCCGTTTGGTTTCTGCTTCCGTTGTATCCGTCCGTTTGAGGTGTGTCCGGCCAGCTCGTCGCATGGCAACTGTAGCAGCCAGTAGTGTGTCTAGTAGTGAGCTAGACTTGTACATATCAAGCCGAAGGCAGTAAAGTAACCTGGAATTCCGTGGGTTGAGAGTGGGGGATCTGAGGGATGTTTTATTACATCAGTAAATATTGCTAACGAGATATCTAGCTCAAGGGATCATTACCCCTTGACCCAGCGGGGTACACTTCCGATCCCCCACTTTGCGTGGGAACTCGCACATATATGTTGCACATTGTTTGTCTGTCTCATCAGTTTCCTCGAACAGCACCTTCCTTCAATTCGACGACAATAGCCCATCGAGACCCTATATTTGGGAATCCTATACAAGAATTCGAACGCGATGACTTCTCTGTCTCTGAAAGGCCCGGGCGCTGCGCAGACCTATGATGGTAATGACGTCTTTCAGGTTGATCGTACGACTAATGATCCGTCTGCTAAAATTTGTTTTACTTAGGAACTGGGCTACGAATCGCCATCGTCCATGCGAGGTGGAATATGGGCATAATTGGTCCTCTCGTGGATGGGGCCAAGCGGAGCCTCCTTGCAGCTGGAGTTGCTGAGAATAACATAACGGTCCACACTGTTCCAGGCAGTTATGAGTTGCCCTTTGCCGTGCAGAAGTATGCCCATTGCCATCGAGCCTCTCCTTTCTCGGGGATTTTATTAGTGAGCTCGGAGACTGGTGCTGACTATGTACGCTGTCAGGTTATATGCGGCTTCGCAGATTGAAGCTGCCAAAGGCTCAGCCTCGGCGCAAGGCATCAGTGCCACCGATTTGCTGTCTTCCTCTACAGCGGACCTCACTAAGGCGTCTCCGCAGTCGCCATCGTCCGATGCACCTAGACCTTTCGATGCCATCATTGCCGTTGGAGTGCTGATTAAAGGAGAGACTATGCATTTCGAATATATCGCGGATGCCGTCACTCATGGATTGATGCGTGTGCAGCTTGATACGGGACTACCGGTCATCTTTGGCGTGCTTACTGTCTTGACTGAAGAGCAAGGCTTGGAAAGAGCCGGCTTGGGCACAAAGGGAATGCACAATCATGGAGAGGACTGGGGTAATGCTGCAGTGGAACTTGGAGCAAAGAAAAGAGACTGGGCTGAGGGTAAAATTGTTTAGTGGACCTTCGGCAAGGCAACGATCTCTTGTTTCGATTTGAGTTATTCTGCCGTTGATTTAGGGTAATCAATCATCCTCTACAAAAGAGAAATTATCAATTGTATACGTCGAAGATCAGGAACCTTGATTGGCGGTCTTAAGGCACAATTGCCATAAAGCATACATTCGTTTACCGTGCACCAGGATATGAGGTCCACATGAATAGGGGTAAAGTAACGAGATGAATAATTCTTTGACAGAGTCTTAGGTGTAGGGTTCAGACTGTAAAGTTCACTCCTCCATCCGCTCGCTCTCGTTTGAATCACCCTTTGTTGCGTCTTCTTCCTCGTCCTCTCCCTCCAGAGCTCTCTTTGCTGCCCGCTCTGCCTCCTCACGGAGTTCTTTCGGTACCTCCTCGTGCCTTCCCTTCGTCGGACCGTCTAATGAACTAATCCAGGTCATTTCCAGTTCGAAGTCCTTGTCTTTACTGTCTTCATGGGCGACATAGATAATCCGAGCCGCTTCCTTCACTCCATCGAGAAGGCTCAGTGTGCCGGAGCTCAGGTCGAGTTTCTCAAGCTCAGCCTTGGCTGCTTGTCTCCCTTTCCCGGTGGCGGCGCCATAATAACCCTTCGATAGCGTTAGCATCGTCTAAAAGCACCATTGTAAATTACAGGAGCATACCCAGTATAGGCCGCTTGGCTCAATCATATATAGACCTGGACCTCCAGTTCTAGCGCCCTCGACTTTACCGCCAGAACCCGACTTGGGCCCACTTCCGACCTGACCGTCGACAGCAAGCTCGGCTTCGGAGTCCCAGCCTCCGACAATAGCAGTCACGCCGAAAGGCCTGACACTAGAGTAGAGTGTGTAAGCTTGCACGTAGCTCCCAAGGCGGTTGGATAGCGCAGAAGTTGGAATTGGCCCTTTGTAAACACTTCTCCATGATGAAGCCTCATCACGAGCCCGAGAAACGAAATGTCGCCCGTCCGGCACTAGACCGGCGGAAACCTGCCATGGAAGCAACGTATTAGCGCGACAGACTCCTAATCAGCGTAGACGCCCACTGTTTCTGGACTCAGCTTGGATCCTTACAATGCCAACGTGACGATCAACCGTAGCTATTCTCTTATTGGCGCCAGGCTTCAGAAGCTTGCTGGTAATGATTTTCTCCACTGCGAGCACGACACCATCTTTGCACCTGATACCAATGGCTGTCCCTCCATTCTCTACCGCTTTAACGGCATATTCTACCTATTTTGAATAGTCAACAGAGCCGCGTTGGCTATGAAGGTGGAGGAAGGCGAATGGATACCTGGAAGTTGCGACCATCTGGGGAGAAGACTGAGTTGGAGAGATCGTACCCAGTGCCAATGGAAGTCTAGTGAGATAATCAGTCACGGAGGAACGTCGACTTGGAAGTTGAGGAACGAACCATGGCTGGAGAGGGTTGTTTAACACAGATTCAGGGGATGGAGTAGAATTAGAATATATGAGAATGTTGATAAGGCCAAGGTGTTGAGTTACTGGAGACACTTGAAAGCTTGAGCACAGGCAACGGGGCAGTTAGCAATGTGATCACTCGGGTAAGGTAGGTAGCTAAGGTACGCGTAGTTAGCAATGCCTGCCTAAGCACGAACAGCTGAGTACATCATCCCCTTCCTGGTATAGGCTAGTGTCTTGCCGCTTTTACCAAGCCCGACGCTGTCATGTGATGCGATCCCTGCAGCTTTACTGGCCCCACTCCGCCGGGTTGCGATAAGGGATACTAATAAGTCTCGTTGCATCATCTTTATACATCTTATAATATAGCATACTATTTACTTCTACTCGAAAAGGCAAGCTACTTATTGCACAGATTGTGCGCCACATTTGATTGGGCCTAAGATATCAACGCTTGTAAAGTTTTGTCACCTGATCAATACTATATGTTCGAGGGGATACGGTATGCAAATAACCGTATGTAATTCTATGCATGTGGGCTGGCATGCACTACTGGTTTCCATCCCCGCCGGCTTTCCCCTGTCGGCCTTAAAATGACCATCTTCTGAATGACATGGATGGTTCCATCAGTACATAACCAGCATCCGGTGGGTGAACAGCCACGCGACTTTCACTCGGTAGGTAGGTATATTCTACGTTCTGTGAACAAGATCTTGTAAGGCTGCATGAATAAGGTACTGGTCCTTCTGACCTTCATTATAAATGCCCAACCATGTGTCTGTTTCGGGCATCGACATGTATTGGTTTACATTTGACCAGCGCCTCCCCACCACATTGCTTGATGTTTCCTATTTAATCTTCCTACCTACCGAGCAAATATATCCTTTACTTCTGCTTGCTTCCCTTCAGCTAGAGTGTTGTATCCTAAACTGGACCTGAAGCTGTCTAGGGCTTCAATATTCATTCCCCTCCACTTTGCCGCCCGCCCTTTTATTTCGAGAACACCAAGAAGGAGAAGGTCAAGCGTGCATCATTTGCCATCCATTTGCACTCCCCAAGATACATAGACGATATGTCTTCATCTATATTGCATAGCTGCCCCTGCTGTGGGCAAGTTACAGATATCTCCAATGCACTTGCTGCTTTCATCGAAAACCCCTATTGTAGCCAGGTAGATACTTTTGACCTTTTGATATCATAAGCTCTCTGACAAGAGAACCACGCAGTGCGGATTGTCCGCTTCTGAAAGCGATTTGAAATTACAGAATGATCTCTCAGCACTCTTCGACAAGGGGATGAACTTAGAGACGCCGTTGTCACCCGAAGAGAGCGTGGGAGTACAGCGTCCTGCTCCCTCATCCCCAATTGTATATAGCATCACACAACATTACCATCACTCTGCGCATGTTGCTCAACAGAATACTACTCGTTCCTCCGAAGGTGTTCATCGCCGCGGCACCAATGCTACCGTCAACGAGACACTCCGACAGCACAACGTGGACCCTTCAACACTTTCGGCCAAGCAAATGGAGCTTTTTGAACATGCCATGCCAGAACAACAATCGCGCCTCATCCAGATGTGGCAGATCTCCCCAGAGCACAGCTATGCAGCAACTAGCAACGTCACCGGAACTAAATCGCTGGACCAGGAAAGCTCGAATGTAACCGGCACTGTTGGTGATCGTGAAATGTGCGATGTGCCTGATAGGAACGAGAATGGGGACGAAGGACACCAGTATGCTGAGCCATATATGGTAAATGGGTATGAGGCGATAGCCCGGGAATGGCATGGACTCCCTTCATCTCAGCCCACACACCTCATGGCTGAACCAACAACCGGATCACCGTACAAGCTTTCAAGTGACCCTGTTTACTATGCTCACTGTCGAAGATGGTGGGAACCTACACAGCAAAGTTCGGTGGAGTACCAATACGGTCTATTCGACGAGATGAACCGTCATCCCCAATGTGGCCTAGTGCAACCTCGTTAGATCGAGGGTACAAAGATGGCCATGGCGTTCATTCCCAGGTTGTGGTAGTCATTGCCCAGACAATGTTACCATAATGACGAGCCTGCGAGTTTCCGGCATGGTTAATGTCATGGAATGTCACGCTTGGATCGCTTTATATTTCCCTGGCTCTCGTCTGAATTGATAGGAATCTATTAGACGGTCTACCTAATGCCGTCAAAGAATGCATGTGCTTATAGCGACTTGAACTACGGAAGAAGCCTGCTAACTCTAAACAAGCTGTAGAGGGAGAGAGAACGTGTTAACAGGTTTTTGTAGTGCTATTTTGTAATAAGCAATATATGACCATGGGAGCCCGCAGACAACTTCGTAGACATGACAAAACTAATCTCCCTCTATCTCCCAAGCTCCTTTTGTTCACCATCTCTCCCTTCTTCCTCCCCAGGTCTGAACGCCACACCCATTCGAGGGCCATGATAGGTATTCATTCAAGATCTGAACCGAAGGGCAAGGACTCAGAGAGGTAGTTGTAGCTGCCAGCATCCAAGAAAGTCGGTGCGGTAGATATATTGCGAGAAAGAGTGACTAGACAGTACGCAGCACTTGGTTTGCTGGTCTTCAATTCGGCCTGGATGTAGTATGTTGGATTTTTTTGGGATTTCAAGCCAAAGCACCGCCCCAGGCCACAGTATAACAGCTTTGGGAGAGAATATGACGTAGATCGAAAGTAACGTAATTGAAAAAATATGTAAATGAAGAAGATAACGAACCCCGACTCTGGTTGCTTGAGTCCTAGGAAGACTGGCGACGGATGAGAAAGAGAAGCATAGGCTCGTTGGAAGCAGTAGCCCAGCCTACTGGAAGTCAGACTCGTCGATATCTGCCATAGCCTCCGCAAAGGCATCGGCAGAGCGCTTGACTTCGCTGCCGGCTTCGACAGCCCGCTTGATCTTGTTGCAAGGCTGACCAGGCAGGACACACCATCTCTGAAGGGTCTCGGGAGAGGCGTCTGCAATGGCTTCAGCCAAAGCATCAGCAGAGCGCTTGACTTCTCCGCTAGCATCAGCCGCACGCTTGATCATGTTGCATGGCTGGCCAGGGAGGTGACACCATCTCTGCAGGGCAGCAGCCTGCACAGTGGTGGCAGCAAGAGCGGCAAGGACAATAGAGACGAGCTTCATCTTTGCAAGAATGTGAGGAAGGTTTTTTATTTTCTGAAAGTCAGATAAATTTGAACTTGAGGGAATGCTGTTTGAGCTTTGGCTTGACAGTTTATACTTCTTCAAGACTATCGAACACGGAAGAACCAGAGCCTTTATATAGGTTGCTAGTAGAACGCAGGAAACCTGGGTCAACTCTGCCTTGCTGTGCATCAATGGAACATATCGCTATTGAAGCGGGTCCAGAGCCTGAGCCAGGAAAGAGAAGGTCCTAGGAAGCAACAACATCCTCCTGAATAAAGCACCAATTGAACAGGAAGGAAAGACAACACATCAGTCAATAAAGTAGATAGAGGGTAATTTCCCAATGTATTGAATGGCAAGGCAAGAGAAATGAGCCAGAGATTCAATTGACATTGCCACCAATAGAGACAGAATATTGGAATAGGACTATTCGTTTGGTGTTAGCTACCGGCTTCGATAAGGAATAGAAAGGAAGTAGACTGTATCGTAAGGTCGAGAGGGAGGGGGGGAGAGAGAGAGACCCAGGGGTCTGAATCAGAGATCTTCCTTTATCCATCGTCCACTATGCTCTCTACAACCTCATATTTAATAGTATCGCAGGCTTTCCAAAACTGGGTGTCAATAACACTCAGGCCTAATGAGGTGGTCAAAATATCAAATTTCCCTTGTTCTGCCAATAAGACAAAATATGGCCAGATTCAGCTATCAATAAGCTATTGAGTACTTTGACCTTGATGAACATGGGGTGGTTGTGAACAAAGCAGCCGCTCTACTTCCGCAAATCGGATGTTTTGAGACCCTCGACGAGGACCGGCAAGTGGCGGGTCAGCCGTGGTTGCTGGCTGTTTCTTAATCATTACGTACTTTCTTGGGGACGTTTCCCTCTTGACATGAACAGAGAAAAAGCAAGAATAAGATCATGTGGTCGTACATCCGTTCTCCCTTGTGAGAATGTACAGTAGAAGGTAGAGAATCCTTGTACGTATGTATAATGGACTGGAACCATTAAGTCGAAATGCTGGTCGGGGCGGTGATAGAGAGATAAGATCGGCCCGCGTGAGTAGTAAGTAGTTTTGGTTGTCCGACATGTTCTTGAGTGGATGCCGAGACGATCCGCCGTTTTTTCCGGTGTCTCGTGCATCGCTGGCTTTAGGTCTTTTCTCGCCGTCTCCGGTTCCGTCTTTGTCTTTCCTCCCTCTCCCTCCTCTCTCTCTTTTTGCTCTCCCGTCCGCACGTTTTTGGGTCCCCTCTCCTCTCCTCCTCCTTTTCGGTCCGTTCAATCTTATAATCCGTTTTTCTTGACCCCTTTGTCCATCAAAATGTTCTCTCTGCGGACGGCGCAACCCGCGCAGGTAAGTGGATGGTTCCTTGCTTTTTGACCGATCAATTCCTTTGTCCGACCCGACTTCGCTCGAATCCTTGCCCTTACTTTCCCTCCCACCGCCGCCCGCAACATCCTTTCGCCCGGCTGAATTAGAGAGGAACGCCTGGGCGCACTTGGAATACGACCTCTCATATACTTTGCTCAATTGCCTTTTCGTTGACGATCTACGTTTTTGGTGGTTTCCGATTCCCTCTAACGCGATTATGCTTGGCAGTCTTTGCTCCGTCGCGTTGCGGCGCCGACTTCCTTCCGTTCCTCCATCCCGGCAAGATGTGCGTCAACCTTCTCAATCGCGTGCAATACCGTCCTGCTAGAGACATAATGGTTTATTGACTCTATAACCCAAGCCTTTGCTAGCGTTCAGTCCGATATCTTCAAGCCCACTAAGTATGGCGGCAAATACACCGTCACTCTCATCCCAGGTACCTACACCCGCCTCTTCCTCAACTTGATCAGTTTGCTGATGCCTCGGTGATTCGCTTTCATAAAGGTGACGGAATCGGTGCCGAGGTTGCTGAGTCGGTCAAGACTATCTTCAAGGCCGACAATGTTCCCATCGAGTGGGAGCAGGTAGATGTTAGCGGTGTTGACACCGGTAACAAGCACTCGGAAGAGCTTTTCAAGGAGTCCATTGCTTCTCTGCGCCGTAACAAGCTGGGTCTGAAGGGTATCCTCTTTACCCCAGTTGAGCGCTCCGGCCACCAGTCGTTCAACGTTGCTCTCCGTCAGGAGCTGGATATTTTCGCCTCGATCGTCCTCATCAAGAACATCCCCGGCTACAAGACCCGTCACGAGAATGTTGATCTTTGCATTATCCGTGAGAACACCGAAGGTGAATACTCTGGTCTCGAACACCAGTCCGTGCAGGGTGTTGTGGAGTCCCTGAAGATTATCACTCGCGCCAAATCCGAGCGCATCGCCAAGTTTGCCTTTGGTTTCGCTCTTGCCAACAACCGCAAGAAGGTTACTTGCATCCACAAGGCCAACATCATGAAGCTTGCGGATGGCCTTTTCCGCAGCACCTTCCACAAGGTCGCCGAGAACTACCCGACTTTGGAGGTTAACGACATGATCGTCGACAACGCCTCCATGCAGGCTGTTTCTCGCCCCCAGCAGTTCGACGTTATGGTTATGCCCAACCTGTACGGTGGCATTCTCTCCAACATTGGGTCTGCCCTTGTGGGTGGACCTGGTGTTGTCCCTGGTTGCAACATGGGCCGTGACGTTGCTGTGTTCGAGCCAGGCTGCCGTCACGTTGGTCTTGACATCAAGGGCAAGGACCAGGCGAACCCTAGCGCTATGATCCTTTCTGGCTCTATGCTTCTGCGCCACCTGGGATTGGACGACCATGCCAACCGCATCTCCAAGGCCGTCTATGATGTGATCGGTGAGGGGTGAGTTTCAGACTTCCATTTCAACCTTCCAGCTTAGTTCAGAGCTGTCGCTAATGCGTAATTTCCCTAGTAAAACGAGGACCCGCGACATGGGCGGACAGGCTACCACCCACGAGTTCACCAGGGCAGTCCTGGACAAGATGGAGGCTGCTCTGTAAATTATTACCCACTTGAAAACCGACCTCCCACCTTGCATGTGGTACCTGCTACAATTATGATGATGAGAGCTTGTATAGGCCAGTGAAATGTTTTGATTTCTATATGTAGACCAAGCCTGGCCTTTCTGACTGTCTCTATAATTTGTACTCCCCTTCACTCCATCTGACACAACGACGCGCGGCGTCGGACACATGATTGTGTGCTATGGCGCGTAAAACTGTACACAAACGTTTGAATTTGAAAGCGTGTCTCTTCAACATCCGGACTGCTTAGCAAAGATCCCAGTAGACCAACGACAACTGAGGAATCCAGTGTTCAGTAGATACGAAACCCAGCGGCCTGACATTGGCGGGGATGCCATCTCCCTTGGGATAGTCTTGGCTTGCCCAGAGGCAAAGAAAAGGCGCAAAGAAACCTCCAAATGGGAGAAAACTCAAGTGGTATGCAAACGTGAAAATTATAGCCGCGTACCGGTTGTCGAGCCCTACTCTAGCTCTCCAGCAAAGGCCGACACCGGAACGCTGGATCCTTTTCAGTGGTAATTGACCGGCACAGGGAAATCCGCCTATGATAGAACGGTCTGTACCGGGGTGAGGATGTGATCGGGGAGGGGATTATAATAAAGGCATAGTGATCGCGCTGTACCAGGGAAATCAGAAAGCAGGACGTCGTTTTCTGCCGGTGTATTTCGAATTCGCCTTCACAACCTTGCCTTTCCGGGTCATCTGTTCCTTTTTTCGTAGAATCCAGGCCTTGTCACCCTTCTTGGATGATGCTTGTTTGCCACGCTCCATAGCCCTTTTCCGGGCGTCCAAGACATCCACGTCGTTCATGCCATCAACAACACCGGTGATGTCACCTTGTAATCCACCTCCTCCAACGGTGAGCACGAGGTAGAGTTTGCTGTTCTTTGTACCCGGGTCATCCTCCAGTATACCAGCTCCAAAGCCGGCCTTCATGGCAGCCCCACTGATCATGCTCCGCTGAGCGTCGTTCTTTGGATAAAATTGGCAAACTGCGCGACCACCACGCCGCAGGCTAGCATAGAGGCCCTCGAAGAAGCGACGAAGACGGTACTCCGGGCTAACATCACTAGACTCCGCATTGCAGAGCCATTGGATGGCACTGATACTGATGGCTGCATCGAAACTTCCTGGCCGGAACGGTACTCCTTGCCCGATGTCAGCAAGGAACAGATCACCATCGACACCGCGCTGGAGGGCAACATCGAGCATGCTAGGTGAGATGTCCATGCCGATCCAGGTATGCGGGCCTCCGTCTTCGGGAGCCACCTGGGAAAGAATCTCTCCGGAGAGACCAGAGCCGCAGCCAAGATCAAGGATCAAAGAAGGTGTTTTCAGGTCTAGGAGGTCGAGTGCCCGATGGGTCATGTCGGACTGAATGTTACGGATACGAGACGAGGTGGTATATTTTCGGGACTCATTATCATCATAGAATAGATCCGGAGGCCTTGAATAGTAGCACTGTGTTAGTGATATATTGGCTACTGAGTTTCCACGTAATCCACCAAGGGGTCACCTACAAGACATCTTCAGGACGCGACATGTTTGCGATCAAGTCCCTAGGTGTTTCGGGCGGTTAGAGAAGCAGAGCGATGTTGAGGTTTGAAAGAGAGGGGGGAAGTCATTCATACCTCTCACTATTTTTTTTTTTTTTTTTCGGGGGGGAACCTACTTTCGTCGGGCGGAGTGTAGCCGCGGGGGCTTGGCATGCGGTGCGGTGGTGCACTTTGTTATAGCCTGAGGCACCAAGGACGGTCCAGATCGGCCAACTGATTGCTCTTGTTACATCTTGCCAACTATCCGATGCTTGATGTTACTACGCCCTTGCCTATCGATTTGAACCGGTCCGCAGCGCCCTCGCCCTCGACTTCTACATAATGTGGATTCTACCCTTGGTAGGGTATTTGGGGGTTATTGTAGGGTTCGCTTTCCTTACGTTAGCGATAGGTACGATATGCCCGCAATGCGCGCGATGATGATGACGACGATTGGTCTTGCTCTCGTCACCATAGACTGGAGAACGAGATGCCGAGCTCAAATGGCTTGTGATGCTATTTGTATTCATTAGGCTGACCTGTCACTAGCCTCCGGTCTTTACTACCTCTCGGAGCTTGTGGAGGAGCATACAGTTCTCGCCCGTCGGCTGTTGTACCGGCTGATATACAGTATCATCGCCGTTCAGATCCTTCTCTACTTATTTGACCGATTTCCTTTCTCCTTGACCGTCCTCAGTATCGGCTCGCATATCGTATATGCCAGCAATCTCCGCCGATTCCCCATAGTCAAGCTGTCCGACCCTCTCTTCATCCTATCATGCGGGCTCGTCGGGTTGAATCATTGGCTTTGGTTTCGCCACTTTTCACAGCCATTACCTTCATCGCGCGGCGCCAGCAGCTGGCGCCAGCCATATCAGGTTAACGTGGAGGATATGCCAACCTTCACAGAGGTTGCATCTTATTTTGGACTCTGTGTCTGGCTGGTTCCATTCGCGCTCTTCGTCAGCCTCAGCGCGGGCGATAATGTCTTGCCTACCATGGGCTCCGAGTATGCCACAGGCGACCGTGTGCCTACTTCGGGGTTCACCCCGGGTACATTTGCGTCCGACGGAAAGTCCAAGAACAAGGGAATGGCCAAGGCCCTGGTGGATGGCGTGCGGGACTGGGTTAAAGATAACGGGGAATTGATGGGTTTCTGGAAGGGTGAACGGGCAAAAGGCTTTTAGGGACGAGATTATTTTCTGCTCTAGGCCTTTGTACTAACATCATCTTGTCGGATACCCTTGGCGTTCTGCTCTCGGATCAATTTCCTACGGGCTCTCAGTGAATGGCTGGAGGCAAGCCTTCATGAGGTACCCACTAGCAGTTACCAGTTCTGGTGGAGTTGTCTTATTTATACTAGCTATATAGGCTAAAGAAACAAACCAATGTGAATCCGCAGTTCTCAAAGTGTAGCATATGCACAGGCCAAAACCAAAGGACGAAATCATAAGGCGTGAGGGTATATTGTTAGGCATGCCTCCTTCCAGTAGGGTTCACGGTGTGTACAATCCGATGATAAGTATCACAGTGTGCTGCGTGTCAACTCCGGACTGCAACAGGCAAGGACAGGGAAGATAATTAGAAACAGAGGATACTCCAGTATTATTAGTAGTATTAAGAGTACCCCGTAGTCCTCGGCTAATTGTAGCAGAAGTACAATGTGGTCGTTTCACATTCGTTTGGATCGTCGAGCTCGGTCGTGACAAAGGAGCCATACTGCAACATATCTGAAAGTCTCAATGACAACAGGCGAATCTTGGCGCGGGGAAGGAAAATATGTAAAGAAGAAACAAGAAACAGTAAGTAAGCTTGAGGCTAAAAGGAATTCATGATAACACAACGCTGAATATGACGTAAGAGCCCATTGGAGCGCGCCATAATCGTAATTATTCACATACAAGCTGCGTCAAACTTTGAAGAGTCAGCGGATGATATTGATTGGTAAGCTTGAGGAAGAACCCATACCGTTTTCACCATGGAGCGATGCAGGAAAGTCCTGATGGTTGACTTCCATGAACAAGAGAGAGCTCTCCCTCCTCTTCGCCTTAGCCGAACGAGAGTTGTCAATATTCGGCGACAACATCCTGTTCAAGGACGGCGAGCTTGAATGGCCAATGGTATATTCGTCCGGCCCACTTCCAGTAGAACGTTCATGACTGTTGGATACAGAGCCTTTACTATTCTGCAGGTAAAAGCCATCCATGCCGCCTGAATGTTCACCGAATGTAGTCTGACCATAACCTGGCGTGGATGCCTCCGGAGCAACCTGACGAATGGGGTACCGGAATTCTTCATGGGAAGGAGAATAATTGACATCCGACTCCAACGTTTCAGCAGGAGTCTTGAGCACCCCATCAAAGATGTCCTCGAAGTCGGTGAGGAACATTGAGAAGACGGGCGCTGGGATGTTCAAGGTAGGAGCAAAGACAATACCAACGTTTCTGATAGTCATCTTATTGACATCAGAGTTGTTTACAATAACAATCAAGAACTGGACCAACGCTCGCAGCAAGGCCAGGTTTGGCTGAGGGAGTCGGTGAACAAGGTGATTGAAAGCGGCGATCTTCTTTTGTTTTTCATGAAGTTCTATAAAGGTGTGTTAGTAAGAGAATAAACTGTACAATGTGAGTACTTACCGAGTACCCGCAAGAACTCTAGATGAAGTTCGCGGGTCAAAACCGTGGTGGGAAGTTCACGTAGGTATTGCTTGAAAAGGGAGGCGACGGCATGTACATCATGATACTGGTCATCTGCGAGAAAGTCCACATCGCCTTCAGTGTTGAACCTCTCCTTTAGTGCCTTGACAACAAGATTCGACCCGCTCAACCGGAAGATTCCTTCCTCTGACTCAGCACCTCTAGCTCTGAGATATTCTATGCAACGATATACAACCGCAGGTAAATCAGCGTCTATTCCTTGTGGTGCGCAAAACTGTACAGCTTCAGCCAAGGGCAAGCCAAACACTGGCCGGACGAACTCTCGCTTCTCAATATTGTTCTGCACGGGAGCCAGCGAGGAATCATGGCAAGCCTGGAGCTGAGTAGCAAGGTCAACAGACGACCTTGTGCGGAAACCCCAAATACTGCGTTTCTTTTCCTTAACGCTCGTAGCTGCTTTGTTGCCCCAAGCTCCCGCGTCCTGGATTATAGCTCCATTGGTAGGGCCGGAGATGAGCCTAGATGAAGACTGACCATGGTCTGGACCGGAATCTGCAGTATCGACTGAAGGTCCTGTAGAGGCTATCGGGGACTTGGGGAGCTGTCGATCAAACGATGGCCCAAGGACAGGTGGCTCGGCAGGAACAGCATCATCGTAACTGAAGCCCTGAACTGCAGCATCAGCGCCTTCAGTGTCTGGATTGTCGATTCCTTTGTCTGTCTTCTTTCCGCCATTTGAGAATAGTTTCGGTTTGGCAGCAGAACTAGTCTGCTGTTTTCCGGTTGCTGATGGCAGCGACTTTGCAGGACTATTGAGGCCATCGTTCTCTGACTGACCATCAACATATTCAAGAAGTGCGTCCACCCAGGTATCTCTTTCTTCGTCACTTTCAGCACACAGAACATGGCGAACAAGAGCTGACGAGTCCTTGCGCTTGGGCTCCAAAATGAGGAAAGCATGGCGATACTGGTTGTCGGAGTCCTCCTCGGTGTGGGACGGTGAGCTGTTCCGACCGCTTGCATTCTGCGATTGCTTGCCAATTTGCGCGTTGTACAGTTTGATCGTACCAAGATGAGGACCGCCTGGAGACTCGAAATATTTTAGCTCGGGGCTATGCAAGACGAAATATCGTGCTTTCCAGCCGCCGAAGTTCTTTCCTCGTTTTGTTAGATATCCCTCCTTCCTCGGTTTACCATCTGGTCCACGTAAGATTTCGGCACCAGCTTGGTGATTACCTCTCAGTAGACTCATCTCATCATCTCGGGGTTCAATGGCATCTGATGTAAGGAATTGACATATGACCAACGCCGCCTTGTCGTCCATCGGGGTATCAAGGAGAGCTTCAAAGTAGGCATTCAACGCGGCACGTCTAGTGTCAACTTTGGCGGGAGAATGTCCGCTAAAAATGGACCGTTCAGGCAACTTTCCTCCAAAAGACGACAATTGTCGCATCTGTTGATCAAGTTGAGGAAGAGCAGCGATAACCTTTTCAGTGCGCCAAAGCTCCATGTTTTCGGATCTTGAAAATATGCCCAACGTAAATACAGGTTCTTCCTCCGATTGCCTAGAAGCCAAATAGCTATTTCTGGACGGCCGAAGTCGTGATGACGAAACTTTGACATGTATTGAAGGGAGGGCATTTGGTGGCAGCAGGAGGCTTGGATATTCATCCGATACAAGACCTTGATATATCCCGTTATTCCTCACGACTGGTTCTTGTGGGCTGTCAATTTTAACTGCCGCATCGATTGATGGAATAGGCCGATTGTGAGCATCGACTGACATGGAAGAATATGCAGAACTGCTTGGAATTAAATTAGAAGGGGTCCCTGTAGAAAAAGGATTCTGATGCTGGCCAGTGCGCGGCGACAGTGCCAATCCAGAAAGGTTACTCTCAGACGACATGGGCAAAGACGATAGAGCACCAGGAATTTCCCTGGGTAAGCGCGGCAACGGAGAACCCAGCGGGCGGTCCTCGGGCCTTGGGCTGACTGGCAAACCGGGACTCTTTGGAATACTGATGCTAGGAAGGTCGCCAAGTGGTCCATTATGTCTCGTACGGGGACTGGACGCGGATGATCCTGAATGGTCAATCGAAGGCTGTGCTTGTCGCGGGTTTGACAGCGATTCCACAGCCGCCAAACTATGTAAATTGCTTCCTTGGCTTCCAGGGTCCTGTAGGGTCTCTTGGTCTCTGTTGAGAGCGGCCTCGCGTTCTCGATCGTCATCATCTCTCGTCCTTCTCCTCCCGCGCTCCATTGGCAACTCATCCGCAGCCAATATATCCTCATACTCAGAGTCAGAGTCATATATATCAGGTTCTGCTGATGTATCTTTCTGGGAAAGATTCAAGGGAGCAGGCGGAGGTTTCCGGACCGGAGGGGGCACATCCTGCTGCTTATTCTGCCCTGGTGCAGTGCTATCGACGGGAGATCTTGAACCACTCGAGGAGGTTGGGCTCGCTGTCGACAATTCTCGTCGTGTATATACCAGTGATGGATTGCTTTGCGTTTCGGCTTGCCGATCATCATGAATAGTGGAATTGCTCACGGCACGCTCCTTGCCTGGGTGTAATGGCAACTGGCCTACACCGAGGCCTTGTAGCGAAGCCGAATCAGGCGAATCTTGTTTCTCGACAGCGGCGGACTGTATAAGAGTGAAGCCCTGACCCAGATTGTCGGAGTCTATACTGTCCGAATGCCCACCGCGATTGTGCGCCTGGCTTTTTCGAACAGGTCCATGGCTGGTCAACGTGCCGCTGCTTTCGCTGTCTCGTGATCGCAGTTTCGAGTCGATAGTGGACGGTAAAGGCGGCGGGGAACTCTGCAACTCTTTAACCTTTTTCCTGTAGCGTTCCTTCTCTTTCAAAGCACGTTCGAGATCTTTATTCAAGCCTAGAATGAGTGTACGCTGCTTATCAACCAATCGCCAGAGCTGCGAATTTTGAGAGGCCGCATGATGCTTTTCCTTCAGGAGGTGTATAATCACAGCCTCAGCTGACCCAGCAGTCGCTATCAAATTTCCGATATCGGCCTGACTTAGCGCATTGGCATCGAATGAAGACTTGTGTGTTTGAGAAGCGGAAGAGATCGACGAGATGGCCGAATCAATGGAGGAGGTCCGGGGCATCATACGCTGACCCGGACGATTCCCGGAGGGCGATTGAAGAGAATTGGCTGGCGAGGTGGGAGAAGACATCCTGGAACCTGTCTGATCTGGTATCTGCTGCGCCCGATTATCACTCATTTTATCATTCATATCATACTGCTTGAGACTATCCCAAGTGTCTCTCACGACCGCTTCCGATCCGCTGGATGTCTGTGAATGGGTATCCGAGGAAGGAGTCTTAATTGTCGCATATGCTGTATGATTTGTCGTATAGTTGCTCTTGAACATGGAAGGATTACTGAATGACTTCGGAGATAGCGGAGTCTGCGATGGACTGGCGCTGACTTGTCGGGGCGATGGGAAGTGTACGTTCGTTTGAAGAGGAGATGGCGTAGGTTTGCGGGGGGAAGCAATGGCAGCCCCGGAACGCAAAGCCTGTCCGTCAGAACGTGGGCCCAGATAGTCGCGAGGAATCAAATCGCTGGATAATGGCAATGGCGAGTGCACCGTGCTCTGGTGCTTGGTTGTAGGTAACGTGGGAAGGGGTGCAGGTAGCTGGTTGATGGTGGTACTGTCGCTACCTTGCCGCCGAGGCTGCGACATGGCTTGTTTAGGAGTCGGAGCTCACTCCACGCATGGGAGGGAGGGCGCGGAACCAAACAACGATTGGACGCTAAACGCGGACGGTTCGACTGGGGGGTTTCAGCACCAGCGGGCCAGGGGGGCCAGAGCCAACGGTTCGACGGTTCTTAGATTGAGGGAACCACAAACATACCTTCCGCACATGCGAGCCTTCGCCGTGAGGACAACACCGAGAACTGACGGCATCGGGTGATTCACTGGGAATGTCGGGCTGGTTAAGGGAAGATGTTGGAAGAAGTTCGGTGAGTACGGCGACTCATGATTTACTGAGACTAGTTGCAAGATCTAGGCCGAGTGGGGAAGGGGCCAGGGGAACAGGGGAGAAAAAGAAGAAAAAAAAGGGGGAGGGGACAGCAGAGCATAAGCAGGAAGGATCCTCCCTTCTTTCAATGAGAATGCAATTTGAGCCGAGAATACTGGTGCAGTGCAGGGAGGAGAGCTTGTAGGTTTCTATGAGGGTGAGAGCGAGGCAGAAGACTAGTAGTATCTTTTACTGTGGTGAAGAGATGATGACAGCCACCCTTCAGTATCCAGACTTGCAGACAGAGTAAACAGTCTTGCTGCATTTACAGATGCTTGGTTAAAACGGCTATGCTTTGCAAGGACAACTGATTGGTTCAAATTTCCCCAGTGACATACCCTTTAGAGATAGGCGCAGAAAAAGCATATGCCGCTAGTGGTCCTGCATGAAAAGTAAAGCCCACTTTTGAGCGAAGGCTTCAAGGGCACCACCATACTTGTTGGATTTGCTTAGCTGCCCCGTCCATCATGCCCCGCCGCTGAAAACGAGAAGCCGAGAATAGCGTCAGAAATGGTGGACAACCCACGTCAGATGAGAAGAGAGGCATATAATAGGACATGAAAACGCCAGAACACCCTGTCTAATGCAGCCCCCTGAGGCAAAGTAAAACAAAATTCGAGGGTTGGGTAAAGATGAGATCGCTTTTCCCCCCTCCAACGCCTATATCCTGGTGAAACCAAATTACCCAGCTTAAACTCCCAGACACCCGTATGGTACAACTATACAATGCTATGCTATATTTCCGGCCATGCCCATAAAAATGGCCTGGGCAGCTAGTTGGAGTGACCAGAAGCCAACTTTCTTGAAACGTCGCTTCCGAGCTTGCTCATCAACCACATCTCGCGCAAACGCATCGTATACCTGTCCAACATTAGTATGTTATCATAGATCACCGGGGCTGAGATTGGAGCTTACCGCTGCCGAAAGATCATCCATCAAGCCGCTATCCCAAGTGGTCCAACTGCCATCAAAATCTCCGAGGCGTTTGACGAGGCGACAGTTCACTGGAATGAATGTACGCCTTGAATTAATATAGGCAACAATGGGTCTAATAAGCGCATTGTTGATATATGAAAGGTCACGTGTGAAAAGAGGAACAACGGCCCTGACATTGTTCAAGTGGAGGCGGAGATCGGTGACTAGGAATCGCCGGTCATCTTCGGCAGCAGTTTCTTCTGACGAATTTATGTTGGACGTGGTCGACTCAAGGTCCAGGTTAGACGAGACTGTCGCTTCTAGCCGATCATAGAATCCGGCCATAACCTTCGCAAGGCTTTCATCATTCTCCGCGGGAAACATGATGTCGGAAACGATGTCGACTGTTCCTTCATGTATCCAAGAAAACGGGCCCTGGACTCCCCGATTTAGATGATCAATATTTAGACCATCAATACGAATCCTGCTATGCTTCTTCCATGGACTCGGTTTACCATCTTCTTCACCTCCATTTTCCAGCTGTGCCCCGGTAAAGCCATGAGTTTGTCGAGGGTGGATTGTGAACAATGAGTTATCGTATGACCCCGACATCATATTGGCGGACATAAAGTCATAGAATAGCCACTGTTTTCTCAATTGAGGCAAATCACATGAAAAGATGCTGACAGGGAAGGGTCTGAAGTTGTCTGGCTGGTACACGGTAACCAAGACATCGCTCATCTTGAAAGAATCAATCTCGAAATCACCAGGATTGTGCTCGTGTCGGTAAGATTTGGGATCAAGATCGTCATCTGACCAGTGAACATATCTGCGGTCGACTACCCCGCGAATGCCCCGTACCTCAACGTCACGAAGAAGTCCCTTACCGTTGATCCACTTCGTGAATGACAAGGTAACATTGACCGTTTCTATGGACACATCGAATTGTGTGTAGTTGGTGTCCTCTTCATCTGACACGGGCCGCTGCTCGGGCAGTTCAGGGTTGGTTTGCTCCCCGAGGGCGGCGGCGGCGACAGCAGCAGCGGTTTTCGAAGAGCCCTTACTTACATGCCCCGTTCCTTGTCCTGGTCGCCTGGAAACAAAGACGTTCTTGAACGTGATCACGCCATCTTTCCATTTCGGAACAATTGCAGACTCGAAGACGACCTTTACACCGGAAGACTTGGTGAGATAATTGCCGATCCAACCAGCCAATGTTTCTATAGAGATTAGCATCGGATTAATTTCGATGAGAACCACTTCGGGCCTACCTTGGGCGAACACTGTATTAATCGCAATGATAAGCAATGAGAAGAAAGTGGTAGTACCCAAGACTACCCAAACCACATGTCCCAGGAGCACCCATGAGAAGAGAGCGGTTATTTCATCCAGATTGAAAGGCCTGACACTTCGTATAGAGAACCACTTGAACCGGACCTTAAGTCGTGACCAGAATCCATTAGCTGCAGCCAACAATTCTTCTTTCGTAGGCCGGTGCAAGTGCGGTATATGTGGCAATCGGTCCCTGAGATGGCGGTTTAATTGCCCTTTTTGATTAAGCTCAGGTAACTGCGGCTCGGAGACCTGACTTTTAACGTTGACGGATGTCTCAGAACCTTTACTGAGCCCGTCAGGATGATGGCGGCCGTCATTATGATTTTTAGAATCCTTCCGTAACTCGGTCGTCCTCCGATCATCTGGGCTCGTATGAAGACCGCGCCTAATCGTAAGCCAGGAGACAATACCCAAGCCCTTTCTTCCCGGTGTAGAGATCCTATGCGGCATCAAACCCTCTAGAGGGATGGCGTATGTTGCCCTGGCTGCAGTGTGATCGGAGGCGCCATGTGCAAAGCCCGCGGTAGCAAATCCTCTGATAGGTCGTGTCGGTTTTCGTGAAAGTGAGCTATGTCCTTTCGCAATATGTAAATTGTAAAAGCCAGCTCTGAGGTCTTCTGTATTTCGTTTATATGATAGGCACGATACGCGCCTTTCTCGTAATCCATATCCAAATATTGATTCCGTTGTTCCCCATAAGTTGGTGTACAACCTGCGCCCGAGATAGCCAGACATGATTGCCGTCACATGCTGGACAATCTGGGAAGGCAGGTAAGCAGTGGAGAATCCTCTCTGGTATTGATCAGAAAGCCGCAAAACAAGCCAGGCTATTAGATGTATAGCTGGGATGACAGGTGCATGCGTCTCAATCACCGGGCAGAAGCACGGTGCTATCTAACCAGGCGGACCGCGAATAAATTTCCATGAAATCATCCCGCCTCAACAGGAGCGGGTCCTGTTTGTAATGTTTGCATCGAAAATTCACAAATTCACACTATAACCACACATCTTTTCCATGGACCGTAAAATCTGTGATAACGGACTCCGACTCTGATTTACAGCCTAAACCGTCGAGTATTCAGATCCCACTCACAGAAACATGCCTGCACCCACAGCTTTACGGCAAAATGCCGAAGTAGAAATGACAGAGACGCTTGTTGCGCCTACTATGTCAGGTCAGTCCCCGCCAACGCTTTACGGGAGCCCGACCGAGTGGCCATTCTAACGTCTTCCAGAGCAAGATGAGGAAATCTTGATCGACGCCCAAACGTCGGCAGATCAGGTCTCTGCAGGACTCGCACCTGAGATTGAGCCCACTCAAGACAGCGATATGCGTATCGATGAAGAGGGACGGCCCCTCTTCACGCCAGCCAAAGACACTAGCAGAGTATATCGAGTTGAAAGCAGGAAGGTTCCTGTACCGCCGCATAGGATGACTCCATTGAAGGCTAGCTGGGCACGCATCTATCCGCCGCTTGTCGAACATCTCAAACTTCAAGTGCGCATGAACATCAAGAATCGAGCTGTGGAATTACGTACGTCACGATTCACGACCGATACGGAAGCCCTGCAGAAGGGTGAGGATTTCGTCAAAGCTTTTACTCTTGGATTCGATGTCGACGACGCTATCGCACTTCTCAGGTTGGATGATCTTTACATACGTTCATTTGAGATTCGGGATATCAAAGCCCTCAACGGAGAGCACCTTAGTCGTGCAATTGGACGTTGTGCTGGTAAAGATGGGCGAACAAAGTTTGCGATAGAGAACGCTACTCGGACAAGAATCGTCATTGCAGACCAGAAGATTCACCTGCTAGGCGCAGTGAAGAATGTCGACTGTGCCCAACAGGCCATTGTTAGCTTGATTCTTGGCAGTCCACCGGTCAGTAACCTTGTGACGATCCTGTCAATTGCCGTCTCAGATGATGCAACGGCTGCTAACTCCTCAACAGGGCAAAGTGTATGGGAACCTTCGTAAGGTGGCTTCTCGCATGAAGGAGCGTTTTTAGGGGGAAAAAAACCAATCGTCAGCATCATGGGAACTACGGCCTCTGCCTCTACCAGAGTTTTGTTTCTTTTCTTTTTCTTTTTATGACATGGTATCGGCGTTAGGGGTTGTGGCATATGATCTGGATAGAGTATAATGGATATGACGACACAGAAACGAGGGAAGGAATATTCCACTGGATATTTTATCTATTCATATTCAGAAAATCATCGCAAGAGTATAACACTAAACTAGGCTGGTGAAGCATTGATTAAAATGGGCCCCGGTATGCCTAATCCTTCTTCAACGGATAATAAATCTCCTCCACTCCACTCCTGGTAATAACCATCATCTGCAAGCCATCTCCGACCTCAATATGTCTTTCGACGGCGCTAGTGAATGCATCTCGCACCAGCTGCTCAACAGTATCTCTTGGTAGTGGTTCCGCTTTCTTGGGCTCAAGGGCATGCCCTTCCCCGCTACCCGGAATATATTGGTTTTTGAAGTTGACCTGGTTGTCCAGGAACGGCATGATCAGACTTGCTGCAGACCCTGCAGCCCTGCATTGCTCTCTCTCGTACGAGCCAACCGGATCGTAGCTGTACAAGGCACCCTTACCATCCTCGTCCAAGCCCGCTAAAATAGCATGCACATAGTAGGGAAAGAACCGTTTCTGGTAAAGAATTGTTGACAAGCGTTGGGCACAGGCTCTCACGGACATGGGCTTTCCGTGTTGGTATTTGTACATCTTCACCACTGCATCTAGTCGCTCTTTGAGGGCCTGGCCATCTGCTGCGAAGCCCACGACTGACAAGACGATGTTGGCACCTTCGCCAGACTCGTCATCACCGCCAATTTTGAACACCTTGGGAACATAACGAGAGTTAATGTTGTATCCTGCAACGGATCGAGTATCTCCAGCCAGGATCGCGAAATCGGAGCCAGTAATGCCTAAGGTAGAGCCGCCGTTATCCGTATAACTGCCGTTGTAAGTTAGCTTAATACCCATGATACAGTGAAGACAGTGATACATACGGATAGAAAGAGTGCTCTCGGTGGGGAGCACTGTTCGCATTGGAGAAGGAGTATCCGATGGCCTCGCTAAGAGGGTTGCCGGCAAGAGTCGTCATTCTTCGTAGAGTTCGAATGTGTAGATAGTATCAATTAGGATGAAGCGATGAAGGTTTTGTTATACTCTGGTCGTCTAATGACTGTGGATGTAGCGGAGGGTGTTCGTTATGTAGGTAGTTGCAGAAGTGAATAGTAGTAGGACCTCTAGCTGAGCTGTTGCTGAGCATCTGACGCGGTGTTGTAGCTGCCTTCTGCTTATATAATCACGCACAGCTTCCGTCATGGTCTGGGAGCAATTGTTACCGCGGAGTGAACTGCCGTCTCCAGGTTATCTAAAGAATTAGCGTTGTCTTATTTGAGTCTAATGTCCAACTCCTACGCCTCCTCATAATCCAAATTCTCACACGAGCGCTTTATCTTTGAAGCTCAATTGGCTTATCAGAAACCCGGAACGCACCAGGAACTGACGCCCAGTTACTATAATGCTTGGCTTAGGAGCGTATGAAAGCAGCAGTGACGAAGAGGTGGAAAATAATTTGCCCTCAGTACAATCGAAGGTAATTGGAGCATTATGCTGTGTTATCGGCCTTTACTAATATGAACCCGGCAGAAGATCGCAAGCCAGAAAGCGCAGTCACAGGAAGTCACAAAAGCTACAGGTGATTGGAGAATAACCTACTTGTCTCTGAATCTAGTGGGACTTATTTAACATGTTACCAAAGCAGAAACCGCCAATGAAGCCACACCATCAAAAGAGATACCTGTTCCAAACACAGACAGGCCTGTTCTTGGGCCGACGCATGAAGGCTCACAAAATCCGCAAGAGCAACCAGCCGAACATTTACAAGTCTTCTCAGCGGACCGAACATTGATCCATGACCTAACACTTCCTCCGATACCAAATCTAGACATCCCACCATCTCCCCCTGGCTCTCCTAACCCTGCAGCAAATGCCAAATTCGCACACTTCTTGACCCTAAAGAAACAGGGCATGCATTTTAACGAAAAGCTCGCCGGGTCTACATCCCTCAAAAACCCCAGTTTACTGAAGAAGATGATGGACCATGCCGGCATTGATGAACAAGCACAATATCACACATCTTTACCACCTGAAATATGGAACATCAGCGATCTGCCAAGTTGGGGGTATAAAGAGGAGCTTTTAAAAGCGCAGAGGGAAATTCAAAATAGGGCTGAAGAAAAGAAGTCCGCAGGACAGAGGGATGCTATCAACTTTGTGGCTGCCACGCCTAGCGAGTTCTCCCGTGCAGGCCCTATTGCTAGCTCAAGGCCAAAACAAAGGTAATATACGATGGATAGTTCAGAGTGCAAGTGTCACTGTCAATGACGGCCGGGACAGTATGACCAGGCGTACAATGCTTGGGAAGCAAAGAAAGGCTCTCCCATTCCAATGCCTATGATTGGAGGCCACTTTGTGAAAGGAAATTTATCTGCTGATGATAGACTTCCTCTCACGAAATGACTATACAACGTCTATTTCTAGGGTCAAATAACCGAAAACGTAGCAATAGTGAGATACCCGTTACGTGCAGGGACGACCCTTTCTTACTGCAGTAGTAGGAGGGACACTGTCATCTTTAAAGGGGCCAATCTCCAAAAATCCTCCCTCCGCCCCTCAAAAAGGCATCTCATCCAATTAGTTGGAATTTGAAAATAAGTAAGACGCAATTAAAATATCTATGATCATTTCACGTTTCTCTTGTAGGGACTATTGTTAGGCTATACTTGGCAGTATCTAATTTTCGCTAAGCGCGTGTGTTGGCCTCCGATAGGCGCGGCGGGAGGTGATAGCATTGCTCACGTAACATGAGCTCCGTCAGCTCTACTGCCTACCGACCCGACCCCAGAACAGCGTCGATATCATCACAAGCTACTATTTCCTTCTCAAGCATCACTTTGAACTTCCACATCAAAACCACATTTTCCGGTATACTCAGTGAAAACATATACAATCATCCATTCTAATATCGTTCCAATCGCCCATCATGAATCACTTTCCCGAAGCTTGGGGTCGCGTAAGAGCATCATCGCATTAGATTATTGATGTCGCTAACAAAGTGCTGAAAGCCTAGGGATGACGTTTACGGACCCTACAACGCCTCATACCTCCAGACAACTGGCCCGAAAACCCACACTCAGTCACCTGCTGTGACTGGTACGTCGGTAGTGGCAGTCAAGTTCAACGGCGGAGTTGCCATTGCTGCCGATAACCTAGGTATAGCTGAGAAACATATTGGAGATTAAAGTCATACTTTGGCTGACGGCCAATCTTTCATATAGCATCATACGGGTCCCTTGCCCGCTTCACCGACGTGAAACGACTTCGCAAGTTTGGCGATTCTGCCATCATCGGATTCAGTGGTGACGTTTCGGATATGCAGTATATCGACCGACTACTGGAGTCCATCGACATCAGAGAGAATTACTCTACCCACGGAAACACGTTGAACGCCAAGAATCTTCATACTTATTTGTCGAAAGTCTTCTACAAGCGCCGTTCTGAGTTCAACCCCCTCTGGAACCACGTCTTGGTGGCCGGGTTCGATGGAGACAAGAAGCCATTCCTCAGCTCAGCGGATCTGCTGGGAACCACCTTCTCGGCTCCGCATCTCGCGACCGGCTTTGGTGCCCATCTTGCCGTCCCAATCCTTCGCCGGCTGTTCCCAGAGGAAAGGCCTATTGAGTCAATCACCAAGGATGAGGCCGTGGCGGCGCTAAGGGAATGTATCAAGGTTCTCTGGTACCGTGATGCGCGGAGTCTGGACAAGTACTCCTTAGCTGTTATTACTGAGGAGGGAGTTGAGATCCAGGAGGACCAGCAAGTTGAAGCCCAGAGCTGGGCATTCGCCGAGACCATCAAGGGATATGGGGCTCAGGTTAACTAGGATATGGCTTTGATTACATGCTTGTGCCACTTGAGTAATAGAACAAATCCAACAAAGTACGTATGGTGAAGTCACTGCGAACGTGTCTTGGTTGTAGGGCGCTATATATATGAAGATGCACAAAATAGTAGTCGTGATGGTTGGTGATCGGGATGCCACATCGTTCAAGGGACTCCTGACGGTCCTTGTTACACCCGATAAGCCCCGCGCCACCTGTTCCTTTCATTATTGATTCAGAGCTTAGAAGAGGGCTTGTCGAAGACAACGCGATTTAGGCATGATCCGACACCCTCAAGAGAAACCTCAACTAAATCACCATCCTTGAGCCAGAGCGCCGGCTTTCGACCCATACCAACACCTTGGGGTCTGAAGAAGTCAGCCTTGTGCATGGTAAGTGCGAAAGGAGCAAATAAGTGCTAACTTACGTTCCTGTAAAGATTACATCCCCGGGCAACAAGGTGGTACCCTGAGATAAGAACGACACTGTCTTGGCCACATTGAAGATCATATCCTTGGTGGATGATGATTGGACCGTCTGGCCATTCAGTTTTGTCGAGATCTGCAAGTTGTTGGGATCAGGGATTAGCTTCGAAGATACAATACCTGGTCCAAAGGGCGCCCATCCGTCGAAGCCCTTGCCCAGCCCCCATTGCCCTCCACCATGCTTAAGCTGCCATTCACGATGAGAGACATCGTTTCCAACGGCATAACCCAAAACATAGTCCAGGGCCTGACTCTCGGGTACATTCTTAGCTTCCTTGCCGATAACGATAACCAATTCACACTCATAGTCCAGACCCTCACCCTGTTGGGCCAAGCGAGATACTGGGACGTCATCTGTAGGGCCCGTAACAGAGGTGACGGGCTTGTAGAAGAGAACTGGAAATTTGGGCAAGGGTAGGTTTGATTCTATGGCGTGTTGTTCATAATTGAGTCCCAGACAACGCACGGTCCCAATGTCCTTTCTTGCCAATGGCGCCAGGAGCATCTTGATATCAGCAATCTGGTCCGTGACTTGGTGCTGTCCGAAAATGTCGCCCCGGATAACCCGTGCTCTCGTGGCTTGGGCAATGTCGCTCACGCCTGCTGACAATAGGGCGTCTCCATAATAAGTCTGGCCGTCCTTGGCCAAGAAACGAACCAGACGCTGTGCCACGAGACACAAGATCAGTTCTTGAAAGAAGGAGTGGGCCAATGGAAAGGATATGGACTCACGGAAAAGGTGGCCATGTCGATCAAAGGTGCTAATAGTAGTAGTCGGATATAAAGTATATCAAGAGTAAATGATGTTTAGTAGTATGATGGATAGCAGCTGGAGTCTAACTAGGAGGTGATATAAATCTGTATTTCAAGACCAAGAGTGAGTTTGGTCTGACGAAGCTCCCACCAGCACTTCTTATCCCGATAGCTGACTAGTTAGTAATGTTAGTACGGGAAATAGTTAGATAACGAAGAGGGGGTTTCTCCAGCTCCTCGGCTCCAGGATTCTCGGCCGGAAGGGGAAAGCAGCTCGGCTACTACGTATGGGGTAAGCGGATCGGCAGCCCCCGGGGAAAAAGCCGAACAAGCTACCAGTAAGCATGCTCTGCATTTCCGAACTTCTGAACTCTTCAGTCCGGTGATGCAGCTATACCACTACTAGCACTCGCAATTTCCTCCAGTTTGCAACGACTATATAGATCCAATGGCTCGGCTGTCAGGTCTCCAAAGACAGGTGCTGTCTCTGTATCGGACATGCTTGAGAGAAGCCGGGAAGAAACCCATTGTAAGCAAACACCTCGTCGCGCTGTCAAGGTTTTGTTTCACTGGCTAGCCAACGAACTTGGGCTGATTAGTTCTGCTACTTCATATGCGGTAACTAGGAGACGAGAGAAAATTTCAGAGCATATGCTAGGTGCGTTCCTTAGTCGGGGTCTTTAATCGAAGAGATTGGTCTCCTGGTATGCTCGCTCTACAGTGTGCTAATCTTGAAACAGGGCCGAATTTCGAAAGAATTCCTCTGTTAGCAAGAAGGATTTCGGTGCGATAGAGTATCTACTACGAAAGGGGCAGAGGCAGCTTGAGATGTACTCATCCCCCGGGATTCGCAATATCCGGTGATTTCAATATCCTGTCGCTTGCGGGGCAGCCCCAGAAATTCAAAAAACGACCCTCCTCCTTTGGATGTAGGTGAATGGCCCAGTAAACGAAATATAGCATGGCTTTTTGCTCCCTATGATGCAACTTTTGGAGGCTCACTTCCTAGGGATGAACTCTTATGTCACGTGATTGCGGAAGATTCGCGCGGGTTCTCGAACCGTAAGCCGCTTATCTTATCGGGTCGGTGACGGAAGGCTCCAGATGCATCTGGTGTCATCTCGCTCCATCGCTGTCGCTCCCAGCATCTGCCAGAACGCTCGGCTCGCTTCTGTATGACAGAGAAAGTTGGATGATGGCGTTTTCTAGAAATCCTCTGGTCGGGAATATAAGGATGGGATTTAACCAGCCTAACATGTTTGTCTGTACTCAGAATCAATTCAATCTCATCACAAGATAAATCAGAGACATTCATATCCTCTTTATCAACGATCCAAAACCACAGCTATCTCCTTCAAGATCATTAGCTTTCATCAAACACCCTTGACATTCTCAAACAAATCACAAACAATGGCTTACTTCCCTCGATTTGCCGGTGACTTCGCACCCTTGTTCCAACTTCTGGACGATTATGATGTCCACCGGTCTAGCCGCCCCAAGAACAGGAAGGCCACACCCGTCCGCTCATTTACTCCGAAATTTGACGTCTATGAGGTGAACGACGTATATCACTTGGAAGGCGAACTTCCTGGGGCCGAGCCGAGCAACATTGAAATCGAATTCTCTGATCCACACACCCTGGTCATCAAAGGTCGCGTGGAGAAGAATGAAGTGGGCACCCCTCAGACAGCGGGTCAAACATCGCCGACAAAGTCACACCAGCCGACAGTTGAGGATGACGATGAAGACGAAGACAACAAATCAACCAAGTCCTCGGATAGCCACCCCACGCAGCTGGTCTCACAGAAACAAACCGAGCCAACCTCCAAGTACTGGGTTTCCGAACGCCAGACTGGCGAATTCTACCGCACATTCACCTTCCCGACGAGAGTGCATCAAGATGCAGTCAAGGCCAACCTGACAAATGGAATCTTGTCGCTACAGATCCCGAAGGAGCCTGCCCCTCAGGTCAAGAAGATCCGCCTCGAGTAAAGCGATCGATAATTATCGTCTCGGGTTTTTCTTAGCATCGGTTTCCACTCTGCGACATCTCTGCTTTCTTCTTGACTTACCTACCATGGCCAAACGATCTTCTGCCAGTTCACGCAATGATATGAATGTTTCTGCACCTGCATTATGATGGGGTTCTGTGGGCCAGGAGTACATTGGAATGATTGTTCATTTTCTGCATGTATTTTACTTAGGTCATCATGCGATGACAAATAATGAATATTGAATTTTCCTACATATGCTCCTCGTAGAATACGAGTATGAACGAAAGATACTGACTGACAGCATCACCCATGATACGAGAGTTCATAGACATGTCCGATTTATCATCTTGATCTCTACTTACTGTAGATACTATTACCTAAGTATCTTTATTAACGTTACCACGGCCAGTACTATTACTAATTGAGTTTGCAAGCGCTACCATCATAATTACTAGACACCTCGCACAATAATTCAGCGAAAGCACATCATCCATGCACGAGGCATACATAAGTATGTACCGAAGGCATCAGATATCAGATCCATAGGTCAAAATGGCATACCACTAAATCCCACGAACTAGTCTTTCCGTAACTTTAAATTGATAGTACCCTGGACAATACTCCGTAACTATGCAAAACTGCAGTAAAAAAAAAAAAAAAAAAAAAAAAAAAAAAAAAAAA